GTACACCTTGTGGAACTTAGCAGTTGGGCGTGGGGCTTTTTTTTGTTTGTTTTTGTCAGTCGTAAGGTAAAACTTAACTAATGTTTTGCCTCTTTTTTTATTGCATCTTATATTTCATACGTGTAAGCCTCGGGTCAGTCTGTAGCTTGTACTTGAATATTTCATAGCTCTTTAAATTTGAGTCATCATTCAGTAAATACTTATTGATGTAGAATAATAAAGGGTAGTGGAGCCTGGGAAAGCCTGTCTCGGTAAAAAAAAGAAGGTGGTGTCATCTTTTTCCCAATTTGCTAAAGCTGAGGATACCTTACTCTTGTCAGTATACAAGAGTGTATACTCATATGTATGCATACACACATGTATGTTTCTGTATACTTTGTGGGACATGTATGAAGTATAGCTGTATGTGTCTGTTCCCTCAAGTTGATAATTGGTCTCCATTCTTAATGTTAATAAATAAGATTTCATACATGTGTGTATATATGTATATAGGAAGTGTAACTGAAAACTGCTGTGATCCAGTGCAGTCAGAAGAGTGCATGCCAGGGAGGGGTTTCATTCCAGACACTAAGGGATAGATTCTCCTTCCATCTTTCAGTTTGTGATAAAGGAGTAGATGCAAACTACTTGCATATCTTCTAAGTTCAGAGTGGGTAACTTCTTCCATTCAGCCCAGTTTAGCACATTTATTGTTTGGAACAGTTTAGATGGAGTCAGGGAGAGAATGGGAGTGTCCTTTCTTTTGGGGTCTTATGCCTGCATCAGAAATCCCGAGGTAAGGACTGGCTGCATTGGGGAATTGCTCTTTTTACCCACATATATAAACCATCATTATAAGCTAGATTTCAGTAGTTTTTTGTGTTGTTCTTCATAGCTTTTTTTCAGCTGAAGGATATTGACAGTAGTTTTCTAATGCTCTTCTGAAAGTGTCTGTTCTGAAGAATGTCATTAACACACAGAGTTGGACATGACAGAAATCTTCCAAATGCAAAAATGAGTAAAGAGGATCTGCAAAGACACATCACAGTGCATCTCCATTTTTAATCTCTTCCTTATAAGTAAAATACCTTTTAAAGTATTATTAGATTATTTTAATAGATGTAACAATATAATATGTTAATTTGTGTAATCTAGTCAATTTCTATTTGCTAGGTGGCATTTACTTTTGTCTTGGTATTGGTTGGAATAACTATTCTTAATGTAAAGTTTGTTCCATCTGTTTTGAGCCAATTTATATTGGAGTGGTAGCACTAGCAATACAACACAAAGTGTTTCATAATTGTCTTGGAGCAAGATTGTAGAATTGTAAAATTCAAGCATTTTGGTAGCAAGGAACATAAAATTTCTGTATGCCTTACTCTACCATCAAAGTAGAAAGCATGTTGGGAGAGTTTCAGGTGAAATGGGTATTTATGGAAAAGATCTTAACAGGAAATAAACCAACTAATGTTACAGATGGTACTTGCTCTGAGAGGTGTTTTCCGTTTTGACTATTAGTGAAGCATTTGTTCTTGACACACATGCTGTTTTTAAATAAAATCAGCTGTGAAATAATTTCTCATTCACACAGCACTGTTATGCTGTAAGAGTTATCTGAATTACTAGGTCACAGCAGCACTGCAGTGTTGAGGATTTTTGATGCTTTAGCTGTGACAGCAAACAGAAAGCACTGGAGCCTGATGATATGACAGGTCATGTGATGGCAGTGAATGCCTCGTCTTGAGGCAGGAAAATATGCGTGACCTCTCCAGTAAAAATACATCCGTCCTTCAGTATGCAGAACCCAGAGAACTGTCTGGACAGCACTAACACCAAGAGACACAATTTGTAGTACTTGGTCCACAGGAAGAATAAGATGTTGTAGCAGTCTCCAGCCAGTCGCATCTGGTGGTCCAGAGCTGCCCAGGAGAGTGAAATACTCCACTCTTAACTGTTCCTGAGACTTGGTTGCCATGGTCACAGCTTTAGAGAGATAAAGACATTCTTTTTCTGTATTTTGTATGTATAGTAGAGGGTCATAGCAGTGGTGTTGCTGCTGTGTAGACACCCCTATCTCTTCAGTTTCATCCATTGTTATTTTATGCTCCTCAATCAAAATCCTTTGGGCTTATTCAGATTTAAATACTTTGTTTGAGAGTGAATTTTATTTCTCGTGTGTACAAGCTTTGTCTTTTCTTACACTTTATTTTCCTTTAAAATCAGAGACAGTATATTCAAATAACAGTTTCTGAGCAATAATCACCCTGCCCCAGTATCATTTTGACTGTTTGCACTGGTCAGAAAGTCGTCATCATGCATACAGGTTTCTAAATCCTTTCCTCTCATCCTTCCTGTTTGTTTCTCAGATGTATTCAGGCATCACAGAATATAGGTCTCTTCCTTTATTTTGTCGCTGCCAACTACTTCATCTGTAAATGAGTATTTTGGGCTCTTCAGAAGAGTAAAGTTAAGGATATAATATAAATACTTTGTAATACTTTCATGATCACACATTTTCCTATGCACTTTGTGCCATTTTGTTGTGGCTCCAGCTGTACACACAAACCTGTGCATACAGATGTTTATAATAGGGAACAGGATTGGGTAGTAGATGTAAGAAAGAATGTGTTTTTTTTAAGAAAATAGACATCTTCTGGAAGGTGCTTCTTAGAAGAAATTTGAGATAGCTGTTATGACTGATATATAAATGATTTAAAGATGTAATAGGAGTTTTTCAAATTGTTTCCAGGATGCCACAATGTTTTGCTAGTAAGAGAATAAGCTGTTTGTCCAGGGTATTTGCTATTCAATGTTCCTCTCTATAAATGTGCTTTAAAAAGAAAAATTAATAGGAAAAAGACCCAAACCGATTATAAATTCTCCATGTGAGAAGCCAAGCCCTATTTCTTGCTTAGCGTGAGCTCAGAAGGGCTTTTTTCAGTTGATGTTAATTTTCTCTTCTCCAAACTACCCAAAAAATGGTATGCTTACAATGGCATTGTCCTGATGCACTTAAAAAAGAGTTTGCAGCAGAAATGTTTGGTAATCCAACAACCTGTTGGTGGTTTCTCACTTTACACTTGGTAAGTCTATAATGTATGGAAGCATATCTGTCATCTGTTTAAAATAAGATGTGTTAAATATATAAAACCTGAATTTGCTTTCATGTATGTCAAGAATACCAGTATATTCCATTCAGGCCATTGCCTTCCAAGGTTAAATTCTGCTGTCACATTTTCTGTATCTTTTACTGCTTCTGATATGTTTCTTTTTCTGTGAACTAAAATTTTTTTATGCATACAAATATTCACTGTGTAGTGGACTTGCCACAGAAGGTGACAGAGAAAGCTTCAGCCCCTCCACTTAAAAGTAGGAAGAACAATGATTTCATTGAATTTTTGTTTATATTTTTCTCTGAATAATCCACATAGTTCTGTGGTATGTTAACAACTTGAAAGGCTACTTTACACATATAAGAGGCCAAAATGATATTTGTTGAGTGACTGTATTATTTCCAGACTTCACCTTGCAAATGCTGTAGTACTTTTAAGAATGTTTGCTCATGTCCAGCATGAGCTGTATAATCATCTCTTGTAGGCATCTGTACACGTGATTTTGTGTTCCTGAAGTACTGAAATGTGTCAGTGCTGGGGGCTTTGTGGACAGTCTGACTAGGGAAGACCTTTTGGGCAACTTTCAGTAACTGTCCCCGTGACACTGGCTGCAAGTCCTGGGGAGGAATTAAGAAAATGGCACATTAAAACCAATTGGGGATGATTCTTCTTTCAGTGTAATATTGCAGTAATCTGTGGTATTCAACTGATTTTTATAGGGGACAAAGAATCAGGTGCCTTATTTTCTTCTGTTCTGAATTCAAAGACTTTGTCGTATGAGTAGTAGAGGTGATACTGCAGTGAACAGAAATGAATGAGTTTCAGAGAAATAATTTCAGATAAAGAGATTTTATACACACATATACACACAAACACTTATTGTATGAGATCCCTCAATCCCAGTCCAATATTTTTAGCAGGTGTTACTGATAGAACTTCAATGTTACACATTTTTTTTCTTGTAGGAGTGAAAGGGAAAATTCATGTTGTATTACTTGAGGGTAAAAAGAATTCAAACTTAAGGGAAAAACATTTTGTGTTATAGCTGATATTTAATACTTGAAAAACCCTTCAGATGTATTTTATCTCTGATATTTATAGGAAACATGCTATTTCAGCAATTTCTTTTAATTCCTATAGGAAATGTGTAGTATATAATAGTAGCTCATTTCAAATACATTTAAGCTCAGTTTTGATACCTTTAATGTTAGTTATAATTAAAATAGTATTACTAAAGTTATTACTAGATGAATTTTTTTCTAAAATCATACAACTGGGTATAACATCTAGAGGATTTAGATTCCAGAGAACCACACAAGTGATGAAATACTCTCTGAAACATCATGTTCATACCCTGATGACTAAGCTACATATACATTCATGTATAAACCTTTACATCTGACAATTTTTAGGAATGGAATGAAAAAAACTGAGCTTTCCCTTGCTATTTGTAATCCAGAACACTAGAGGACAGCACTAAAATATTACATAAATGTGTTGTTGTTTACAGTGTTAATGATATAGATGCTCTGTGAGGCCTTTGTGAGGAGAAAACAAATTACTGTTTTGAGCAGTTAGGGCAAGTGATATTTTTGTGAATATCCTTGGCTCCTTTTGAAAATTGCATCTTACTCCACATGTAAATATATAAAAATCTGGAGCTGCTTGTGGTCTGAAACAAAGTTATTTGCTGCAGTAATTTCTTTAGCAATTAAGCTTTATTTTTCTAATAACAATAGTGTAGAATACATTTTATATTTTAAGAAGAGGAATTATTTGCCTCATCTGTAAATATTCTGTGATTTATTTGCTCACATGTAGTTTACTATATTAGTACTATGATGCTTACATAGAGATGTGATAGTATAGCTCATTGAAAAAGTTACAACTTCTGTTGTATTTCTCGAGGCACTCTGGAACGACATGAAACCGGTGAAACAGCAAGAGCAATTCTTGCTGCCATTGAAGATTCAGAATACTTAGTGGCAGATGCTCTACTTCCTGTGTCTCAGGAGTCAAAACAAATCAAGAATTCTGGATCCAAACACTCCAGCTCATATAAGCATGGCATGGGCCCTTCTCTTACTCCTGCAGAGAAATCTTCAGATAAGGTAAGAAGTGTAGAGTAATGCATTTCTCCAGAGTAATTAGTTGTGATTTCAATTCTTTACCCTTTCACCCAGTGATATGTAAGTGGGATGGTAGCTTGGTTTTAAGTTTATAAAGGCTTCCTTTTTTTCATTCTTCTGAATGAACTTTCCTTCAACCCCATGTCACAGACAAATGAGGAAAATTGGAAGAGGGCCTTATACAAGGTCATTAATAGATAATCTCAAAAGGATTTTCTCAGACCTTATTACCTGTAGTTAGATCCTATTTCCTCATGCCTCTAGCTTGTGACTGCACCTGTCAATTGCATCCTGAGAACAACTGAATGCACCTTTCACCTGTTCAAATGTGTCTTGAGAACAAGCACATCGTGATCCAATGCTATTGGTCTTTTATTGCTTTTCTAATGAGACCACAGATCCCTCTTGTTCAGGGACAATTTTTATTGGATGTGTGTTTTCTGTTAGCATCATCACAGAATAGACTGTAAGTGCCTTATGCTTTTATTAGTGTGATTAAATTTGGCATCTTATTGGTTAAAAATGAGATGGTAATGCTCTTGCGTGGCTGCAAATAGGTATGACCATCTTCAAGAGAGAATTAGCCAGGGAGAGTGTTGTGTTTAGCTTTATCTAGAAATACTTTTCTACCAAAATCATTAAACTAACTAATTGTGACTGATGGAGAAGATTTGCTCTTTCTTTTTGTTTTGAATAAGTAATAGACGGAAATAGGCTTCAAGGAGTGTTAATGTACAGTTAAAACTGAGAAAGCTAGTACAGAGATGTTAAATAATGAGAAGATTAAAAATGCAATAGTCACTCTATTTTCTTGTGGCCTAGATATATCTATACTTTTATCAGTTGTTTGTAGATTTAAAAAAATTAATATAGTAAATATTTGCTAATTTTAAAACTGGTTATTGTACTATCTCTAGTTTAATACGATCTCAAATTCAATGAGATAGGTATTGTTTTTTTCATGTAGAAAAATCAGGTACAAACCTATTTTCTTAAACCAAATTTATGCATCAGGAGGTAATATATTCACTGAACTCTTGATGAAAGTGTATCTTAAGAATAGGGCTTTCATGTTGTTCGTTCTTGCTTACCACTTTTTAATTAATGAGTTTTGGGAATTCTGTTCTTTGCAATAAACAGGGAAAGTCATGTCAGCTATTCCTCAAACCTCAGTGTACATAGAAATTATTTTACCACAAGTATTGAGAATGAAAAATGCTTTCTCTCAATCACATATAGAAACAGCCTTCAGAATGGTCTCTGGCCTTTATTCTGGCTTTATTAATAAAAGGAAATGAAGTAGAAGATATTTCAAAACTGATAAAGTACAGCTTGATCCAAACCCTCACTCTTGAGTTTTATGGTCTATTCTTCATTGTATCTTAAAATTTACATATAACATTGAGTTTCTAATGATTGTAGTTTAACTCTTAATATTTTTCTTTGACCTTTTACTAACCTTAGTCTGATTTCTAAAGTTCTTTTTGATCCCATTTTCTGAAAAGTCTTATTAGCGTGTAATCCTGCTGAGCATGTTGTGGGGCAGATGGTGCACTAGTTGGCCATTGGCACAGAATCTGATCTCCCTGTTAGTTTGTTAAAAGGAATAGTTTCTTGCCTTCTTAAATAGGAACAAAGGAAAAAAGTTTTGTTAGTTGTTTGGTAAGTAGTTTTAGGCACATCTATTAAAGTGAAAATTGCATGGGTTTAACAAGGTGGAAGGAAAGAAAATGTGCTGATTATGAAATATGGGAAAACAGTTTTTTGTCAACTTAAAAGTGTGGAGTTTAACATGTTTTGGGAATTATCATGATCTTAAACTGGAAGAAATACCACAACAGGAAACTGTGGAAATGTAATAATTTGTAGTGCTTTTTTTGATCTAAGTCTTGTCTACTCTGATTTCCAAAAGAATAGTCTATTTTCATGTTTAAATATTGTTCATGAATTACCTTGTCCAAATGCAAACATATTAAGAATACTATTGATGTTTCTTAAAGAAATTTTGACAGAAAAAGTCTTTTTTAGTTTCATGTTTTTTTGTTACTGCAGACCTGTTAAGTTTGTCTAAATTCATAATAAATTAGGTTCTGTACTTGGGAAAACACTTTGCATTCATCAAACTTGTGTCATCCAGTACATTCAGAGCTTCTTCCCTCTTGCATCTGCATTAGAGAGGGTTCTGTAGATTGGTGTAGGAGATGCTGGAGCCTAAATGTATTTAGTGTAGCTGAACCTGGGAAAAACATAACAATGGAAGTCCCCTTAATGCTATTGCAGAAGCTCAGTGCTGGCTACACAAAAGGAGTGTGGAACTGTAGCTTTTTTAGCACTTTTCTGTTAGTGCTGAATTGAAGGCTTGATATCAAGTCTGCTGTTTTTTTTAAGTTTTGTGCAGAGAACTTTTTCAGGTTTTTCAAAAAGTCCTCTATTGACTCTTTTGCTCCATTGTATTTTAGCATCTTGAAATATTCTGGAAATTCAGATCCCAATTAATTAGAGGACTGTGGTTATCAGACTTGAACATTCTATGCTGTATTAATTGAAGTGTATAATTACTACACATGTTAAACTTCCAGATTATCAGAGGGTTTTAATATAGAATGAGTATTTCATAATCAATTTCCTTCTTTGGCAAATTGTGTATTAGAAATTTAACAACATACTAAATTGCTAATAATTTTTCTATCAAAAACCCCATCATCACTTTTAGCATATATTGAAGCACTCAGTTTCAGAAGATTTATGTCACAGGAAAAATGAGTGGGTAGCTATTCTGTCCTGTTGGTACTGTAATTGTGAGTGATCCTTTTGTATAATGAGTGATCCACATGAAGACTGCAAGTAAAATTCAGCTTTTATTCTTTCCATTATCACGTTTTTACCATTCATATATTTAAGATGAAAGAACATTTTCAAAATAATGGTCTCTCTCTCTCCTCTAACCTAAAAAAGATAAATATCCTCACACAGTAGTCCAGCTTCAAAGGCTTTCTTTCAAAACTTTTGCCATCATGTAAATCACGGATACAAAAGCAGAATGTTTTGATTTCATGGTGTTTTGACCATTTTAATTCTTTTATTGTGCTGCACGTGCCAGTGGGAGTACCAATAACAGATGACTGTGACAAATGCAGTTAACACAAGATCCATATTAATGTTGTCAAATCCCTTTGATATATTTAAACAGATTTTAATTATTTTTAATGTCAAAAGACACAAAATATATAGCTTAATAGTTCTTCAAGAAAGCTTTACTTAATATGTGAATGTAAAACCTCTCATAAAAATGAAACTTTTATATTGGCCTTAGTCATTGACATAGGGTATTCATCAAGTCAGCAATTTGTGTGGCAAAGTGCCATTTGAATAGTGTATTGTTAGAATACTTATGGTCCACTTGACAAGGGCTCTTGCTGTAAATAGTGCAATTTGACTCCAGCTGTTAAAGAGTGGCTTTGACAGCAGCCAAATAGAATGGAGATGCTTTACTGCACCGCAGAAAAATCAATATTGGGTTCTTGTTCATAGTAACCTGTTTTCTCTTTTTTTTTTTTTTTTTTTTGCAGATTTATACAAGACTATCTAGAGTTCATTTGTGAAAGTTTAAATATTATTTTGGAAGTGAGCCTGTTTTATTTTCAGATTAATGTTGGTGGTGAATGATGCTTGTGTTAAAAAGAAAAAGTGCTTTGTGGATATATATAAATAATGTGATGATGCAGCATTATTGCAACTCTGTTTATAGGGATGGATGTTAGGATGTGGGTGCATAAGTTGTGTAAGTAATGACAAAAAATGTTCTTTCCTTTGTCTTTGTGGTTTTTTTATCATTGTGTAGTGCCACTGTAGTATCCCTGTCCATTTTCTAAGTATAGGGTTTTTTTAAAGCAGGTTTCTTTGTTGTTCTCCCTGTAACAACCCCCACAGATGTTGACAATCTGTAGTGCCATTGTAGATTTTCCTGAAGCATGGTCTTGCTAGTGCTGAACAGTTTTCCAGCAGTATTCAGTGACACAAGGTTGCTATGATACCTGGCCAGTAGCAATAGGTATTGAATCACTGGTCTTAATTACAATAGAATACACACTAGACTCTGCTCATGGTGTTTGTATGGTGCTAGCTCTCATTATATCTTTTAGTTCTGTTTGAAAATTGGAGCTCTGTGAAGAACTGATTTTAAAAAAAAATTGAAATGCTTCAGTGTGTCATATGAAGATTTCATTGATGCACATAAAAAGCTGGATGTGTCTGGGAATTGTTTTCCTGATGTTCCAGAAACCCTTCATGTTGGGAAGTTTCTACCTTTTCAGCTTCAATATTTTGGATATAAACCTGTGTTTACCATGCACTAAAATATTTCAAGTGATATCAGTTAAAGTAAGCAGAGTAGTCTGGGTAAAAACACTGGAAGCAAAAGCTTATGAAATCTGTGAATTAGTTGCTGAAGCTTGAACTCTTAAATTATACTACTGAAACTCTAGATCAGAAAAGGGATTTTTTCACTGTGTATGTAAGAGAAGGCAAAGATGGGGGACAGAAACATATTCATGTGTGGACTTTAATAAGTATATGTATTTTTTGATATATTAACCCAGCAATTCCTTAAAATATATTGTAGTACGAGTCCTTTAGAACTTGATATTCACTTACATAATAGTATATACATTCTACTCTGAACAAAAATATGTAAAAGCAAGAATGTCCAGAAGTTATAAATAATAAAAGAAATATCTACTTTGTTGCACAGGGTAAGGAAGAGGCAAATGAAGACTGTAGGACAATAGCAGCTATTTGTTTTAGTACAGCATGGGAGGCAACTTGAAAATAAAATTGTTATTGGAAGCCTGGAAAATCACTGCTAGTTAAATCTTACTGATGGATAATTTGATAGAAAAATGGAAATAAGATACAAACACAAATACAAAATAATACTTGGCAAATAGGAAATCAGGAATGATGCTATAAACAATGGTGCCTCA